GAGTTGGGGTGGGACCTGGCACTACTGAGTGTTGGAGATTCCAGGTTGGCCTCGTTCAGCTGGTTTTCCTGCAGTTCCTTTTATTTTTTGGAGGTATTAACTCTCTTGATGATTATGTCTCATGTGATGCTACCTAAACCAGCACAGAATGTGAAATTTCTATTGTTTCTCAAATATGTAGTGGGATTGTTGCTGTGTTTTGATATCTTCTTTGTGGTGTGATCATAAACTCACCTCACTGAAGTCAGAGAAGGCCTTGTATGATAGCACGCAAGCCAAGTAGATAACATATTCATGGAAACTAAGGCTGAAGAACCATAGTTTTTGGGAAAAGACATGCCAGGACTTGAGACCCCTAACTCTGAGGTCCATGGTATTTAACACACAGTAGCTTAAAAGTTATTTTTATGAGCAGCTTTATTGAGGAATAATTCATATACCACAAATTCATTCTTTTAAATGCACAATTCAGTAGGTTTTAGTATGTGCACAGAATTATATAACTATTTTTACTAATTACAGAACATTTTTATCACTAGCATAAGTATTTATTTCCAGTTATTTCTCATTTCCGCCTTCCCTACTGCCTGGTAACCACCAATCTTTTTTCTCTCTGTATGCCTTTTCGTATCCTGGACATTTTCTGTAAATGGGATCATAACATTTATGTCCTTTTGTTACTGCTCTTGGTTCACTTGAGCCAAATGTTTTCAAGGTTCATCATGTGTGGCTTATCACAATACTTCATTCCTTTTCCTGGCTGAATAATGTTCTACTACATGGATCTAACCTATTTGTTCTTCCATTCAGCAGTTATTGGGTATTAGGGTTGTTTTCCACCAATGCTGCTAATATGAACATTTATGTACAAGGTATTGTGTGGACATCTGTTTTCATATCTCTATAGATACACTGGTAGGAATTTCTGGGTCATAATAACTATGTTTAATAGTTAACTATGTTGAGAAACTTCCAGACTTTTTTCCACTGTGTCTTAACTTTTTTATATTCCCACCAATCATGTATGAAGGTTCCCATTTCTACACATGCTTATTGTCTCTTGTTTTTACTACAGTTGTCCCAGTAAGTGTGAAGTAGCATCTCATGGTGGGTTTTATTGCATTTCTCTAATGACTGATAGTGTTGAGCATCTTCTTATTTGCATGTTGCCATTTGTGTATCTTCTTTGGAGAAACGTTTATTCATATTGCACATCTTTAAATTGGGTTATCTACCTTTTTATTGTGATTTGTTAGGGATCGTAGTACATTCTAGAGACAAGCCCTTTGTCAGATAAATGTTTTGTAAATATTTTCTCCTGTTGTATACTTAGTTGTTCAGGTTGTTAAAAATTATTTTGGTACAAATAATGTAGTTCCACACTTTATGGTGGTGAATGTAAAAGTTGAGAATTATGTGACAAATACTGGGTTAACTTTTCACTTTTTGATGACATCCTTTGAAGCCTAAAATTTTTAAAATTTTTAAATTTTGACACAGTCAACTTACCTATTATTATTTTTTTTTAAATCTTGCTTATGTTTTGGTGTCCTACATAAAAAGAGAACCATTGCTATATCTGAGGTCACAAAGCTTTACTTTAACTAGGCTTTCTTCTAAGAGTTGTATAGTTTTGGTTTTCACATTGTTCTATTTCACATTGATTTTTATAAAGATTACTGTTTGGTGATGAGTTATTTGTATTTTCTGTTTTATTTTTAAAGTATTTCAAGTGTTTCAACCACATGAATTGAAAAGTTTTTAAAAAAGCTGTTTTTCACTCTTTTTGTGTTTGATCATTTAGGGGGAATCTAGTTACTGACAGAGTTATTAATTTCAATTTTTTTTTAACCCAATGCTATTGTGAGTTGAAGAATACACATGTTCTTTTTTACAGTAGCAAATACAAGTCAGTGTACTACTGAAGGCTCTTGCTCTGTTAACCTGAACAGTTGGTCTCTGTTCTAGAACAATATCTTCATTTTCTGAGAACATTTGTTTGGGATCTTTCAATGAAAGCATCTCTCTTCCCAACAGCCTCTTATCTGCACAATGAATAAAGCTACTGAGTAGAGGGCAAAAGCTTAAGATGTGCAGGTGACTTGGAAACCATCGCATCCCATATGCTGTTGGTGCTGAAGATTAACATCTATTCCAGAGTCTAATGTGCAGCTTCTCAGTCTGTTCTCATCTGGCAATATGCTGGACAGTTTTATTATAAAGTCACCTATTTTTAAATTTTTCATTAAAACTGGATGCTCTTCCTGGTCTTTTCATATGCTTAGCTCAGCATTCAATGACACTGCTCCATTCATAAACAGCGTGTTTTAAACTTAAAGATGTCAAAATTTCTTAAAATATGCTTCGTATTTCAAAGAACTGCCGTTCCCTGAACACATCCCAGGTTGAGTAAGAAACCGAAATGGACTTTTTACATTGAAGTCACATAAATTGGTTTCTATTCTTAGTTATTATTTTGGTATACTTAGCTGTTCAGATTGTTAAAAATTATTTTGTTACAAATAATGTAGTTTCACACTTGATGCTGATGAATGTAAAAGTTGAGAATTATGTGACAGATACTGCCATTGTGGCAGTGGACTTTACATAAAACCATAAAATAGTTTACTTAGCAGTAATAAATAGAACAATGGATTTTCAGTATAAATTTTATTTTTCAAAGGTAGATCAATAATGATTTTCATGTAGCAGCTCAGTAATTTAGTATTTGGCAGGGCTTCTAGCACTTCAGAAGGATTTCTTCTGCAAAGAGAAATGGCAATTTGCACCTGCCTGGAATGTGACAGAAGCAGCTTTCAGCCACAGGGGGCTGCATTCTGGGGCTAGTTGTGAATTGCTTCAAGTGTCTCCACTGTGACCTTCTGGGGGGCTGGGTTGGCTGCAGCAGGGACAGGAAGTTTGCTGTATTTTGGAATGCAAGCAAAAATATTGGCACATTGTTTCTCCAGTGCAATTTTTAAGAGCACGTTTCTTTCTGTGCGGGTGGAGAGGGTGGGCTGTGTGTGGAGAGATTGCCGAGTGGGTTGGATTGTGTCTAAAGAAGGAGCCCTTTCAGATTCAGATCTGATTGCAGAAGAGGGGAAGTAAAACTGTAGTAGGGCTGCTTTTGTTTCTGGGTATGAGGGGATGCTTCTGCATGTTTAAAAGATGTTGTGTCTGGGAGAGCAGAGAGGCATGGGTCACGGAGGAAGTCCTGGTTGTGTGCCTGAGCACCGTAGGTAGCAGCTTTATGCCTCTGCTGTTTTGACCGTCCATAGTCGAAAGCTGTGCCTTCTGGATGGTTGTCTATGAGGACTGGCTCACAGTTGTTGAGCGTTCACTGTCAACCAGGCAAGTGCTTTGTCGGGTGGATCACTCAGTCTTCACATCTGCAGCTCTGTTAAGTCGGGTTGTCATCCGCACTTGGCCAAGAACTTGGTTGCTGTTGGAGTCTAGCTGGCCGTCCATGCAGAATCCAAATTCCTATGTGAAATTTTAGAGGGTCTTTTCCCTCTCCAAGAAAATGCAGGAGCTATATTCCTGATGGTGCTTGAGTTCCAGAGACAGCGTCTGCTAGTTTTGATGCTAAATTCTATATTTTATTAAGTCCGAAGAAAGCATCAGTTTAACAGACACTATTATTTTATATATAGCCAAGAAACAACAAACAAACAAATAAACAAAAAAGATGCCAAATACACTATGGTGCTTTTAATTACCTAAGCTTTTATTTTCTACATGTTAAATAATTAGCTCTTTGAGACTTCTAGACTTATTTACACAAAGATCTTCACTCTAGGGCTCGTATAATGAAATAAGGTGTTTCAAAGGCTGTTTTATGTTCCTAGCTGTGTTCTTCTGCCGCATTTTCCCATTCCACCATAGAGGTCCATGTTTTCCAACACAGTATGGTCTTCTGTTCCATCAAGAGAATTGTTGATACAGCATGTCTTAGGAATGCCACTGTTTTCTCAGGATTTTCTTCCAAGTGTCTGACACCCCTTCCACAAGTGCTAATGGGCACACAGAGGCAATGAGGATTGTTACCACTGCATCAGGCCAGCAGTGATTGTGAGATACAGCCCAATTTTGGAGATTCATCATGGAACCAAAACAGAGTACTATAATAGTAAAGTACTATTTACTATGACTGTAATAGTAAAGGAAGAAACAAAATCAAAAGCCGAGAATTCTGAACTTCATCACCTGTAAGCGCTCATCATTAACAGTTCCTGAATGTGCTCGTGCTCATTATTAGTAATGATAACAGAGTACAAGCACTGTGCTAATTATAGTATGAAATAGGACTGCTTGGTTAATTCTCTCTTGAGAATTTGAACTTGGATATATCAATAGTCCTGGAATCTGAAGCTAGAATACCCTGAAGTAGAGAGGTGCCAAAAGCCCTTTGTAGCCATGTGGAAGCTATATGATCTCACAAGTTACCTGACTTCTCTGAACCTCAGTTTCCTCATGCAAAAAAAGTAAGGATAATAGTTTTCATGTCGGGTTTTTTAGTTCAATTTGTTAATATCTATAGAGCTTCTAAAACAGTGATATACTGGTGACTACTATTTGTGTTAAATTATTTAGTAAGTAAACAAATGACCAATATCATCAGTAAGTAGGGAACTGGGTAGAAGCAGAGGAGAGTAGAACAGACATGCAGAAACTGCATCAGGTGGCCCATGCTGACGGCACAGCAAAGATCAAAGAATTTCTTGAGCTGCTTCCTTACTGGAGGAATGTAGCCTGGGAGTCCTGTAGCAGGAGGGAGGACAGGAAGTACCTTCTTCTGCACAGAACTTTACTGGAGTGTAAATATAGGTGTGGTGTGTATGTGTGCGTGCGCGCGTGTGCGTGCAGGTGTGTGTGCAGGTGTGTGTGTGTACACATGCATGTTCCAGAGTGGAGATTGGCGGCTCATAGAGTCTACAGGGAGGTGGGCTGGGACCAATGGGTGGTAAGGCTCCTCTCTCCAACATTACCCCTGCTCAGCTGTGTCAACTACTGACCTCCAGTATTCCTATCAAGAAGTAACTCTGTACTTTTTAAAGTTTAGAAACAATTTTTTTAAAGGTCACTTGGTCATTTTGTTAGTTTTGCAACCAGAACATTTCATCTGCTTTCTCCATTTCATTTTATCCAGAAGTGACCCAGGATAAGAGCCAACGTGCAGGATTGTAAATCCGCTGGATCCTTTTCTACTGGAGAGGTTTTATAGGATGGGAGAGACCTCTGGAAGGATGCATTACCTTATCAGAAGTCAGTTAACCTCAGCAGTGACAAAGTTTCTCCTTATGTGGTTTGCCTTCTTTGGGCTTTTTTCCCAAGCCAGTTTTATGCTTATCTGATATCAGCCTAACATAGAACCAAAATTCTTATTTTCATGTAATTCTGTCCCCCACCCCCATGTTTTTTTGGGAAAGAATTCCTCATGTTAAATAACAGAAGACGTAACTATAGGGCCAGGAAAGTAGGCTTTAGAATCCCTACTGGCCTGCCTCCCAGCGCCTGGCAAAGCCTCCACAAACTCAGTTTTGATGTCTATCAAACAGGGGCAAAAGTATCTATCCCCAGAAAGCTGTGAGAATCTTCTGAAATCAGGTTGTTTAAGCTCTTGATCTTGCAAATAATAGTCTTGCTCATGGGAGTATGTGGAGGGACAGAAGTCAAAGCTGGGCTGCTTCTCTTTCCATCCCCTCCCACCTTCCTTCAGTCTCTGAAACATGCTTCCAAATTAGCCACCATGAGAAGTTAAACACTGGTTCACTGACAGTTCCTTAAAATATTTATTGACAATCATATATAATCTTGAAAGCATTCTTGAAAAGAAGTAGTATTATAGCTTTCATCTTTTTTTTTTTAAAATAAGTGCCTTTTATTTATTTTTAGAGAGAGAGAGTTATTTATTTATTTTAGTTTTCAGTGGACACAACATCTTTGTTTGTATGTGGTGCTGAGGATCGAACTCCGGGCCTCAGGCATGCTGAGCACGCTACCGCTTGAGCCACATCCCCAGCCCCTAGCTTTCATCTTAAAGGTAGAATTTCATCAGTGGTTAGGTAATTGCCCAAAGACAGAAGTAAAAGGTAAGTCCTGTTATAAACTTGTAAATGAGCCAGAGTTCCTGGGTTGGGGGTTTAGGTGTTAATTGGTCAGAATGAGGATTTGACATGCTTTTGTTGTTGACTCTCCTTCGTCACTGAGTCTGGAAAGAATGGAGGACTATCGTCCCCCCAACTCCATGTCCTCTTGTTCTCAGCAGTTCCTGGTATTCATAGCCTGCCCTGCAAAGAGTCATTTTGATCAGGCTTCAGCTGCCTCTAGGCAGAAGGGGCGGCGGGAAGAGGCTAGCTGTCATCCAGGAGTCAGGCAGGCGGCCAAGGTGAGGAAAGTGTGAGGGCTTAGCAAGACCTGTGGAAGGAAGTTCACGGATTGAAGCTGTAATTCACAGTGATCCGGAGTCTGCTGCTTGCATGGGAGCTTAGCCTTAAACCAGAGCAAACACGCCTTCTCTGCCAGATAAAGCCTCTTACGTTTATCTGTTTACTTGTATGTTGAAGGCCTTCTTCTCCCTTATATTTTTGCTGAGAGTAGAAATAGCAGCTGAAAGTTCTGGGTCTTGCTTATTTTGAACTATTAGACATTAGCTCCTCACTTTCAAGAGGCCAGTTCAACTGTTTTTAAATGAAACACGAAGGTAATGCTGCTTTGGGTAAGCACCAGTTTGCCCAGTTTAAGTATGCAAAGAGTGTAGGAGTTGCGTAAACATGCATTTCTGAATAATTGAATATGGAGACATTCTTTAAAATGTCCACTTGCTGTTTCCTACATTGGACTTTTAAGAAGAAAGTAGAAAGAGTGACTAAGATTTCATTCTGTCTTCTTGGGTCTGGAAGCCTCCTAGTATGCTGTCCGTCTATAGGAAAATCTGTCACTGCTCCCAGAGGTGGATCTACCTTGGCTGCCTCGGGATATCTAGCCTGGCAGCCTGTGTCAGGGGTTTAATCATTGTCTTTTGACGTTCATCATCTCTGGTATTCAGTTCTTGAACTTTAACCATTTGAAAGTGAAAGTTGGTTTCTACTGGCATGCATCTCTGGTCCGGAAGTTGTAGACACCAAAGCATTTGGGAGAGACCATCAGGTTGCCTTCTTTCTTTCCCTCTTCTCTGTTGTAGAACTAATTGCAGTCCCAATTTTTCTCCCTTTATGACTTTCTTATTCAGCTCTTTCTCAAGTACCCAGTACAGTTTGGCATGCTAGGCTCTCTGAACCTTGGAGCTGGAAGGAAAGCACCAAGATGATCTCATGCTGTCCCCTTCCTGTGACAGAAGGGTCAGCAGGAGGAAGCAGGTAGGGATGCAGGGTTCTGGGTCACTGCTGACTGACAGTGGAAATACAGCTCACACTCCTGTTTGCTGGCCTGCCTGGTGCTCTCTTCATGGTAACACTGCTTTGGTTGCTTAGACTTGTTTGTTGCCCAGCTTTCATTTTTTTTTTTTTTTGTCATTTTAATGATTACCTATCAGCACTCAGAGGTTTAAAATCTACATGTGAATTGAATAAGCACATGATATAGTTGCTTTCTCTCAACCCATGTATTAAAGGCTCATCCTGTGCAGATCCTGGGTTAGGAGTTGTACATGTAGTTTCTCAGCTAATTCTGGGATAACCGTAAAAGTAGGGTTTGCATCTGTTGACTTAAAGGATCAAGCTTGTGTAAGGTCCCACAGCTAAAGTTAGGGGAGGACTAAGACTCAAAACTGTTTTCTCTGTCTCCAGAATCGCCACCCTGTGAGCATCCCACAGTCATAATAGGTGCATTCAGAGTAAATAAACCTCTCACCCTTGTGATTTTTATCAATTTTAAATCTGAAATGATCAAATCAGAATAAGCTATTTTTCTTAAACTATTATTCTGCTTTACTTTCATTTAAAAACAAACTTCATGGGAAGCAGCTAGTATGACTGGGGCCGTGCATGTAGGCCCGCCCCTAAGAATGAAGCTGAAATGACATCTGACTTTAGCTGCTCAGGTTAATTACGAGCATATGAAGGAACACTGACTGATGTTTGCCTGCAGTCAGAGGCCTTGCTCTTAATTTTGTAAACTTTTATAGCCAGAATTTTAGACCAGGTGTTAATCTGAAGCTTCTTTCAGGTTAAAAGAACATAGATAAATATACGTCCTCTTCTCATTTTAAGTTATTTTTTCTTACTTCATTATTATTAAACTGTAGACTTCCTTTCAGTTTCAGAACTCTTCACTACTGTCCATTCTCTATTCTAGGATTTCATTCAGTATCCCAGTTTGCGTTCATTCCCTTGTTCTACCTCCTAGTCTTATTTATGGCAGTTCTTCCGTCTTCTTGTCTTTTATGACCTTGACGCTTTGGAACAATACAAGTCATTTATTGTGTAGAACATCCTTCAACTTGGGTGTGTCTGATGTTTTCTCTTAATGGCATCGAGGTTGTGCATTATTAGGAAGGGTTGCAGAGGTGAGCTGATTGGCTCTTCTTAGTGTTATGTCAGTATAGCTTATTTTTTAAAAATATTTTTTTAGTGACCAATGGGCCTTTATTTTCATGCAGTGCTGAGACTCGAACCCAGGGCCTCACGTATGCCAGGCAAGCACTCTACCACTGAGCCACAAGCCAAACCCAGCCCCGGTATAGCTTATTAGTAGTGATGATAACCTTGATGTCTTGGCCAAGATGGTCTCTGCCAGATTTCGCCATTGTAAAATAACTATGTTTCCTTTGTAATTAATAAATATGGGGGGGGGGTGGAATACTTGGAGACTATGCATAAATATATGCTGTTTCTCCCTAAAACTTTGCTCACTTATTTGAACACTGATTTGTGGATCTTGCCTGTAACAACCTTATGGTGCTGTCCTGATGGCAATTTTCTGTTTCTCTCATTCTTTCTACATTTATTAATTAGAAATTCTGTAAGGAAGATTTTTTTTTCCTCCCATACTTACTTATTTGCTATCATTAATTTTTATCAGAATGACTCATGAATATTTATGTTATTCTTTGGGTTTTTAATCCAGCATTATCTCTATTTACTTTGTTCCGGCTTTTCCCCAGGAATCTCTCCTTTTGGTTTCTGTATCTTTCAATGGGCCTCCATCGTTCTTCTTTTTAAAATGTTCTTTCTTGTTTTCTGAAAAGAGATGCTCCAGGCTCACTGTCTGTTTTCCCCAGCCTGGTCCTGAAATCAACCACTTCTCCAGCGAGCCCTGATTCCTTGTAATGAAGATCCTGGCCTTAGGTATGGGGGTTGCTCCAGGAGCAAAACTGTTTCTAGACCTCTTAGCAGAGATAAGAAATATATGTGTGGGGCTGGGGATATAGCTCAGTTGGTAGAGTGCTTGCCTTGCATGCATAAGGCCCTGGGTTCAATCCTCAGCACCACAAAAAAAAAAAAAAAAAGAAAGAAAAATATATGTATGTTTAATTACAAATTTATATATATATGTATATATATACATCTCTGTGTTTTTAATCCATCTATGTGTATGAACTTAGGAATTTGTGATATATAAATGATTTATATCTACCACAAGAAGATTTATTTTATCTCCTCCTTTACTTATTGGTTGCTTATTGGTAACTTCTTTTTCTGACAAGAAACTGGCTTTTGTTATCAAAAATCAATCAATCATAATTGGAGGAATCCATTTTTGGATTCTCTGTTCTATTCCCCTGATCTTAGGTCACTTATTCACCAGTACAACCCAGTCTTAAAATTAGAGAATACAGGTCCTCCAACTTTACTCAAATAGTTTGGCAATCCTAGTAACCTTGCTTTCCTCTGTACATATTAATAATAATTAAAAAAAAACCCAAAATTGTGATTGCATTAAATCTGGAAATCATTTGGGAAGCATTGACATTTTAACGATAATGAGCTTCTAGTCCATACACATGCTGTGTCTTTTACATCTTTTGATTTCTTTCAAAGGTTTTGTCATTTTGAGCACACAGACTCAGTACATTAAAATTAGTTTCCAGTTATTTATGGCTAATATATAGAATCTGCTCAACTCTGGTGAATCATCTTTATATTCTTCAGCCTTGCAAATCTTGTTAGTTTTAGAAACTACATCGTAGATTCTGTAGGATTTTCTATGTGGATATTCATGTTCTTTGCAAATAGGAAGAATTTCTATTTCTTCTTTTCTAATCTGTAAGTTCTTGGTTTGTTTTTCTTGCCTTTATTGCAGTAGATAGAACTTCCAGAATTATTTTGTATAGGAATAGAAAGAATGGGTATCCTTGCCGCTTTCTTGAACTAAAGGGGAAATTTTTCATTCTTTTATCCCAAAGTAGAATGGTAACTCTGGTTTTTTGGCATATGACCTTCAGCGGATTAGAAAGTCTTCTTCTTTTCCCAGTTTGCTAAAAATTTTTATCATGAATGGATGTTGAATTTTGTGAAGTACTCTTTCTATATCCGTTGATACAGTCATTTGTGGAGTTTTGTGTTTTATTTTATTGATGTTGTTGATTATGTTAATTTATGTTTCAAATATTGAACCAAACTGAATTCCTGGAATAAACTCCCTTTGGAAGTGCTATATTACTACTAATATTTTGTTGAGGATTTTTTTTTTCCTCTAGGTTTATGAGGGATGTTACTCTAATTCTTTTTTCCTGTTCCTGCCTTTGGTTTTGGTATTATGGTAATGCTTGCCCCAGAGAATGAGTTAGGAATTATCCCTTTCTCTTATATTTTCCAGAAGAGATTGAATGGAATAGTGTTATTTCTTCTTTCAACATTTGGTAGCCTATGCCAATGAAACTCTCTGGGCTTTGGGAGTTCTCTTTTAAGGGAAGGGTTTCTAACTATAAATTTAATTTTCTTAATAAAGGACTATTTAGATTATCTCCTCTTCAGTGAGTTTGGCAGTTTGTGATTTTGAAGAAATTGGTCCTTTTATCTGAATGATATAAATTGTTGGATTTATACATCTTGAGTTGTTCTCCCTATTGTTTCCTTTCCGTGTCTGTTGGATCTGTGGTGATATTGCTTCTGATATGGACAGTTTTTGTGATTTCTCTATTATTCTTCTTTAGTTTGGCTAGAGATTTACCAATTTTACTGTCTTTTCAAATAGCTCATTTCAGATGTGCTTGAGTTCTTCCTCTATTGTCTGTTTAATTTTGATTTCTCATTTCTGACTTCTTAAAACTGAAGAAGAAATTGTGCTCCGATTATTGTGCTTTTTTCTGATTGCTTGGGTTTGTTTTGCTTTGCTTTTTTCAGTTTCTTAAGGTAGAAGTTTAGATTGTTGATTTGAGCCCGTCTACTTTTAAGATACCAGCATTGAACATTATAAGTTTCCTTCAAATCACTCTTTTAGTAGCATCCTACATACATTGACAAGGCATTGCTATAGTTTTTGCTTTGAGCTATCATACAGATTTTGAAGAAATTAAGAGAAGAATGTTATTTTTAAATTACCCAAATATCTACCATTTCTGTTGTTCTTTTTTCATTCCTCCTATTCCCAGAAAGTTCTGCCTGTGGAATTTTCTCTAGTATTTCTTTTAGAGCAGATCTAATGGTGACAGATTTGGTGGTTTTTTTTTTTTTTTCCTTAGTTTTTCTTCATCTTAGAATGTTTGGGGTTTACCTTTATTTTTCAGAGATATTTTCACTGGACATAGAATTCTGGGTTGATAGAGTTTTTCTTTTAGGACTTGAAAAATGTTGTTCTGCTCCTTTCTGGCCTCTGTAGGGTTTGGGGTAGCTGCCCAGCTGTTGCCACCACCACCACTGCACTGGATTGCTTGAAGCTTCTGATGTTCCACTTCCTCATATTCCTATCCTATTTCCTGTTCTGCCTGCTACTGCTTATTTCTTAGAATTCTCAGAATGCTGCTGCATGCATTCTATCCAGAATTTATAACAGCATTAGGTGGAGTCACAGGGTGGGTAGGCTATTCCTGGACAGGCTATGACTATCCTGAGAGTCGGAGCCAGACTGAGACCCCCTTGCTTTCAGCATATTTGCTTGTTTGTTCAACCATAGTGTATACAGACCATGGGTTTATGGACCCATACTCCCGTGAGAAACAAAATTAGCAACCAGAATCCAGTATTTCTGTACAGGTCTTTTTCTTGTTAGCATTATTGTATCAAGTCAGAAACACTGTTTTCAAGCTATTGTGCGTCTGCTCCTTCCACCCCTTTTGGTGTATTTGCGTAAGTCATTCATTTGTAATATATTTGTATTATGTTTATAATTTGTAATATAGTTAGATTCATTTGGTAAGACAGTGTGGTATTATAAAAGTTGGATTTCACAGCTTTAAGATACTTGGAAGCACCAGTAT